TAAGTTGAGATCTCTAAAACAAGAGCTTTTAAATTACTGTTGAGATAACTAAATAATAACGATAAATAATAATAATAAATAAATAATATGATGGACTATAGATCCCAGTTAACTGAGAGAAATGTGGCTGATCACTATACCTACGTATATCAGGTCATGTCTACTGGAGTCCAACTGAGGTAGCTAACTTAAGACTTATAACTGTTCTGCTCTTCCAGGGCCTGGTCAACTTGTGACCTTCTTGCTGAAACCAACAACTATTAGCACTTATACTGTTTTTACTGATGTAGTCACCTGTATATGGACTTAAACCTTTTGTAAATTAATTCCTTGCAGGCTGTAAAACAGCCATTCTAAGGAAATGCACTTGATTGCTATGGACCCCATCAGTAACAACAATCTAATGTTACAACCTTACTAATTCTCAAGTATTCAATGGCCTCACCCTGTCTCCGCTGTCTCTTCATGCTATATTAAAAAAAATACATCATTAAATTAGATAAAGAAAGATGTCTTTGTATTTTTTACAAGTATGTAACAGGATAGATGATACAGTATTCCTATTTTTTTCAACTGATAGAACCGTGGGGCTCAGAAATCATATATAGACAGTTTAGGGACATTTCAGACAAGACAACAGGAGTGGCAGCGAGGCAGTGAAACACAACAGCGGAAGGATTTCAAGGCATGACTGCTGACAGGTCTGCATGGAAGCTGTTCTGCCAGCTGGCATAGGAACCTTTCAATCAGCAGAAATGAAGTGCACTACAGAAGTGAATGAAGAGTAATTTTTCTGACCAAGTGCCAAAAGGAAAGGAGCAAACTGGATAGATGCTTTGATCCCTGACCTGTTCTAAAATGTCAGAATGCATAGGTTGCTAACTGGTATTAGGAAAAATGGTGAGGATATGGTATTTTACCTGCTAAAATGGCCAAATCTTAAGCAGCCACGACAGGCTGAAAACTCTGACAGACTATAAAGCCTGTCAAGATTTTAATAGTTAAGAGCACAAGGAGAAACAGAAACAATTTTCTGCCTCTGTAAAGGCTGACTCGCTGGGATAACTTCCCATAATGGTGTGTAACAGAGGCTGAGTGGAGTACAGGGATACAGGCAGGCTGAAGAGGAGGCAGTTATAGCACTGTACCAGGTGCAGGGGCCCTGGTGCTGGCAACAGGGGCTGGAGGGTAGCCTCTGTAAGGTGGGACAAAGCCAGTTCCAGCCACCACCAAAAGACCACTGCAGGACATGGCTGAGCCCCACAGCCCTGCTGGTGGCCCCGCTGTGAAAATGAATTTCAGACTGGAAAAAGCACACCACACAGGGAGAGCAGGAGGGAAGAAAAAGATTGAACATCAAAGTCAGAGAAGAAGTGGGGAGGAAATGCTTGAGCCACTGGATCAGGTATTTCCCTGTAGCCCCTGGAGAGGTCCACACCATAGTCCATGAAGAATCCCACAACAGAGTAAGTGGATAGTTCCTGAAGGAACTGAAAGTCATGCAGAGCTCATGCTGGAGCAGGTATTCTTGGAGGTCTGCAGCCCACACTGGTTCAAGGAAACAGTATGAGGAGGAAGAAGTAACAGGAGAGTAGTTACTATGGACTGACTGCAAGGCCCTCTATCTCAGAGCACGAGCAAAGGAGTCATGAGCAAAGTTAAGCTTAAAAGGCAGGATAATGCTTATTTTTTAACTGTTGTTTCAAACTCTCCAAACCTATTTTAATAAATAAAATAATTTCCCTAAGTCGACTATTTTACCTGTGACAGTAACTAGTATGCAATCTAGATCTCAACATATGAGCTTTCTCATGCAATCTCTTCCCCCCGTCCTGTTGAGGGGGAGTGAGAGAGTATCTGAGTGGGCCTCTGGCTGGTGCCCAAGGCTAACCCACCACAGGCACTCAAATGAAGAAGCAATATAAAGGGAAAGCTGAAGATTTTAGTAGAGATAGTGTAAAATGATATCTTCTGCTGATGGTATTACCATAACTAGTACATCATTAACTATGCATGTTCAAGAATCTAGTTATAGAAAGTGAACAGATCTAATGTCTCTTAATCTGTTTATACAAACATGATAATAAGAAGTAAGAAGAAATTAATAAAGAGATAGTTTATCAGCAAGTATAAGAAGGGTGTATTTATAACAAAAATAATAACCTCAACTTTGTGAGAGGAAAGTGTTTCAAGAATTAATTTATTTTTCATACATTAAAAAAGGACTGCAGATGGATTCTAAAAAAAGACATTCACTTAAATGTTTTTTCTTTCTATTAGAAGACTTTTTAAGAAAACTCTTTATGTTTGAACTCTTTATGTTCCTCTCGGAACTCTTTCATTAAAAATTATTTTATGTCTATTATCATTTTTCTATTACCTTTTGGTCATCTTCAATATTTTGAAAATAAAACTGAGCCAAACCAATATCCTCTTGAGGTCTTTGTGTGCCCTTGGTGATATTCTGTTGAGGTTTTTTAATTTGTTAAAACATTCATTTTGCATTTAGATATTTATCCATACTATTTAGATGGTATAAGACAAAGAAAGATCTCTCATTTTAATGATATCAGGAGCTTTTGTGCAAATAATTCAGCTCCAGGAGTAGGATAAATATAGCTAATGTGATGAGATCCAGGATAGACAAAAAATAACCTTTCAAAGAATATCTTGTAATTTATGAAGAACATGGAACTAGATGCTAAAAATATTTTCTCTCTTAGTGTATGCAGTGCTCAAATTCTTCAACATTTATGCTCCATAAATATTCGTGATGGTTATAAAAGGTGGCTCTCAAATGGTCTTGAAAGAATCATTCTGTGCACAAGCATGGCCAAGCACTTTTTGACTCGGTCAAATGTATGATACTAGAATTTCCATCCAGGTACAGCAGGGGGCAGAAAGTGGTGTAAATGATCCCTTGTCTAGAGCTGCATTAGAAGCATGCACAGAGATTGTTTCCTTCTACTCTGATTCTTCTTGCTTTGTTTGTTGAATGCTACACCCAGGTATGCCCAAAGGCAGATTTATCTAGTACCTGTATTGCTGCCTTCTGGAATTCTTATAGGAATAGAGTTAGAAAAGAATGAGGCCAGTTTAATGGATCAGAGAATACTGTCTTATCCTCAGTCCAACTAAGATTACTAAGGATGTCTATAAAATCCCTTTGAGGTCTATAGGCAAAAATTTAGCATTATGCATTAATAATACAGATTCTGCAAGTGATGCAGTGGAATTTTCTGGATATTTGTTCATGAATATATCAATGTAGAAATACTACAATCTTCAATTTCAAACTCTCGTACATATAACTGCAGCTAATAGTAATACATATTCAACTCCAAATGATTCTGAACTTTACCCATTTTCTTTTCATTTCTTTTTTGAACATAAAAGCAGTTTCCAGAATTTCTAGTGGAGAAAAGAGAAGTTTGGGTTTCCTTTACTACTATTTCATCCACTTCATTATGCTCTTTCACTGTACGAGAAACCCTTTAAGAACAACAGTGTAAACTTGACAGTTTACACATAAGCCATGTTCATTAACGCTAGGTAATTAGCTACCATTATGATGTAGGATTTACATTTCAGATATTTCCCAAACAAAGATCAATATTTTTCCCTTTGTTCTTCTAGGAGAAATGGTATGTCAAATTATGAATTATTTACAATCAATTTTTTTAGCTCCTGCTGAAAGGAGCGTCCTGTCATATCTAATTCTTATGTTTTCCTCATTCTCTAGGTTGACAAACCAGAAAGGATAAATTATTCTGCTGCTCAATAATATGCTATTTGGGCTTAACAACTGTGTACATCAAAAACAAGAAGCAGATGTGGTAACTAAAATTTTCACAAAAAGATGGCTGTTTCTTGATCAATTTACTGCATCAGGATAATCACTACTAAGCATGTGACCTTATCTATAACCTTTCCCCAAAACACTTCAGTCCTTATGCATATAACAGCACAGCTTTCAAAATAAAAATGTAACTTTGCAATCCAGAACAATAAATTCTCAATGCCAAGAACTGCATCTGTTACTGCAAAAACACAGCACTTTTTGCGTGGCATACATTTTAGGCTTAAAAGAAGCCACTACAAAAAAGGAGGGGGCACAAAGCAAGACAGTCCCTACCAGCACAGTTTGCTGCAGCTAAAACACAGTTTTAGGCTCTGTCATTTTCCGTGAACATTAATGCAAAGAGAAACTCAAAAAAAGTATCTGAAAATTAAATTAGCAACACTTCTGGTGAACACAGAAACTAAAATAAGGAATAGATTGCCATATTGCTGAGAATTCAAGATGTTATAAGGGAAATTAACACTCCAAGGTAATAAAAACACTTATTCTGCTCTGTGTTGCTCTAGACTAAAAACAGTTATAAAAAACCTAACCTTTACAGCTACAGTTAAAAACAGTCATATCTCCCAAATAATTAATATAAACAGCTTTGTTGGACTTTCAAAAATACCGAACCAGGGCAAAATAGTGCAAGTCACTTAAGATTATTACTCAATTTAAAACTGTTTTGAAAAATTATCATTAAAGTTTTTGACTACAGGTTACCACTTATTGTATCTTCCTTACTTTTTAATCATATATCAAAGATTAAACCAGCAGGCACAAAGGCTTTGTAGCCACCATGTATGAGACTGCAGCAAATGACTGCTGCCTTACACAGCAGAGACTTAACTCCACAGCAATTGCCTTGGATATTCAATAGTCTTCACTTGGTAACCAGAAATTGTGCTCCCAGTGATTAAGGTTAGGATAGTGGATTTTGTAATAAGTTTTATATTAAAAACAATACGGTTTTGTAGTACAAAAATGCATTTTATTTCACTAAATCTGAATATTTTTTTAAGATAAAAGAAATTGAAGGTAGAAACAAACTCTAAGGAAAGGAAGTTGCTTTACAACAATTTCTACTCTCCTCCTTCCCTGAGAATAAGCCGTTGTAAAACTTTGATACGTTTGGAAACACAAACCAGATTCTTACCTTATGAAGAGCGGCTTCCACAGCTTTCATATGACTAATGATCAATTCTTTGTCTCTATTACAAGGAAAAAAAAAAAGAAGTAGCTTATAGAACTGAAGCTCTACTAACTTAGAAATTCATTTGCTGCTATTTTTTAACTATTACAGCTTTTCAAGTAATTGTTGATAACTCAAACTGTTTGTTTTTCTCTCTCCTTTTTACATCTCCAATGTAAATCCTAAAAAATAGTTAATCCGCCACTATTTGGCATGGTGAATGTTCTGGATTACCAATTAAACCAGCTGTAATTATAGGCATATTAACAAACAACTATCATGCTCGTGGAGAAGAAATATGCAGTTTTAGATATAAGGGGCACGTTGAAAGGAGGCCAGGCTTTAGCAGGAAGAGAATACATTCTCATATATATCTAAAAGAAGTTCAGTCAAGGATCCTATCCTTACAAAAGGGAAGTTTGGAGAATGAAACAATACTCTTACCCCTTTTTGTAGAATAGGCAAGAAAGACAGTTTTCATCGGTTATTTTGCCATAAAAAACCTTGGTCTCAAATGACAATTGACAGAAGTAGAATTGAAGTTGCATAATACCATATGACTACGGAGAAAGGACAGCATGACCACCAAACACCATAGGAATTCAAAAGGGATCCATGCCAGAAAAGCGGATATACCTTAACATTCCAGGACTGCCTTTTATTTTGCCAGCTATGTGAATATTTTGTTTGAGCTTTTAAAGCACCCAAACCAGAAGTCATAGAATCAGAATCATTTAGGTTGGAAAAAACTCTAAAGGTCATTGAGTCCAACCATTAACCCTGAACTGCCAAGTCCACCACTAAACCATGTCCCCTGGGGCCACATCTACATGTCTTTTAAACACCTCCAGGGATGGGGACTCCACCACTTCCCCTGGCAGCCTGTTCCAGTAGTTGAGAACCCTTTCAGGGAAGAAATTTTTCCTAATACCCAATCTAAACTTCTTGGCACAACCTGAGGTTGTTTCCTCTTGTCCTATCACTTGCTACTTGGGAGAAGAGACTGACTCCCACCTCACTCCAACCTCCGTTCAGGTAGCTGCAGAGAGGGATCAGGTCTTCCCCCAGACTCCTTTCTTCCACCCAAACCCATGGCATTTTTCTCCATGGAATGACTGCTGCTTTCTCATTTCTTGATTCATATCTTAACAGCAAATACAGAAAGGTGGCCAGAAAAGTAGGATTGGCTTTTACACTCCTAATAAAGCTTGTCATATAGACTTTTCTCTTCTTAGGATCCTGCTTTTCTTCGGACTAGATTGGCTGGGTACTTGGCTTCTGGCTGGGGTTAAACTACGACACAGACAAATTACCAAAAGGCTACTAAATTTCTGTCATGGTCACTGTTATCAGACACATTTATTAATATTGCTTCCTACTCTGGAAGAAAGTGGAAAGAACTGCTGGTCACCACTTCAAGAAAATCAAGATAGCCATTCTCAGAATGAGCTAGCCATCTTGCTGTCCTTAAAGCTCTGCAAAACTTTAGGAAAGAAGTTGAAAGACACCCATGCATTGCTCACAATCACTCAGGTTATGGAATAGGTATTAAAATAATATTTTCTGAATAAAAGCAAACTCTTTTTCAGCTACTTTGCTTATGTTCCAATGGGAAAAAAAAAATTGTTATTAAGAGTTGTAAAACAATAAATGGTATTGGAGCTTTCTTAATCAATCTTCAACCACTTTATACAGAAACAAAGTCAACTTTAAAACCACTTCACATTAAAATAACCCTTTCTGAACACACGAATGGCCACAGGGAATGATCCTTACTAGAGAGCATAAAATAGACTGGGGCAGGGTGAAAAGGGGTAAGCTTTTCAGAACAAATCCTTCTTCAGGTCACATCTGCTTTGATACATTCATATCAAATAATATTTGTCATTTTAATTAGGTTGCTAAACATTTCACTTATGACTAGATTAATTACATTATTTCACTGCTGCATAAAACCCTTAAAGCTTCTAAGCTATTATTCTTCAGAGGTCAAATGAACCTCAGGTATAATGAGAAATTTTAATTTTAAATTGGATTTTTTTTTAAATCTTAGCCATGGACCAACAATATTCAAAGTGCATACTACAATAAAAGTAATAGGCAACAAAGTCTGAAAGGATTTATAATTTTATCTGACTATATAACTGTAAGAGGTTAGTAACAATCTCATTCAAGTGAAAGAACACCTTTTGACTATCAATCTTTTCAAGATTGGTCCCTGAACATTTCCTTCCACTCTTCAAGTTATGGTATAAAAAAGTATGGGGTTTATGTCTAAATCCAAAACTCTCTGAATTCAGCACAAATATCCTGTTCTACAGATAAGACTAGGTCCAAAACAGGTTTCAGCCCCTTTGGTAGCTAAGACCTGTCATCTAGCTGATGTTTCTGTATTTATTATAAATAAATTGTATCTATTTAAAAAATGACATGAAAATAGAGAGAACAAACAATCGTTTCTTAAATAAACAGAATATTAAGGATCTGCCAAAGGCATGTTGTCAAGTCAGTAAGATAATCAGCAAACAAAATGCTTATGGTATTTCAGGACCAAGAATCTGGAGCACTATTATGGGATAACTACAGAAAACATAATATCTAGTACCTTGAACTAAATCTAGTACCTTGAACTAACAGTTTTCTTTTTCAAAGACTATCCCTGAATTTCAAAGACAGATAGATGTACTTTTGTTTTCTAGCAATACATTAGCCAAGGCTAAAACCCTGTGCATGAAAGTAAGAATTGATCATTTGTCTGTTTTAAGTGATCTCCCCAAGGTCCCAGTGCTCACTTCGCTGCCGTGCAGAGGGCACTCTCTGCATCACGGATGCTCTTGCTCAGCCAACGCTTGTCCTGCTCCAGCTGGGTAAGAAGTCTATTTTGCTGACGCAGAAATCGATCTCTTCTTCTCAGCTCCATTGTTGCCTCCGAGAGGCTCTGCAAGCAGACAGAAAACAGAGTTACTTGTCAGCCCAAATAATTAACTTCAGCTTATGCCATAGGCTATTAAACAAAGTGGAAAACAGACTGACTGTGAAGTAGATTTGGACCATTGCATACTAAAGTCTTCCGAATTCTCTAGGTAAAACATTACTGACCCAGCAACTCCCCAGTTTGTAGTACATGGCCTATGTACAAATACGTTCATAAAATAAAGTGATTTTTTGATCAAGCAGGGACATATACTGTGCTACAGGTACTATATTTACAAATATCAGATCTAAACACAATAGAAATAATCAAGAGTACACCATTAAAGAGCACAAAATATTCTCAATACTTAATTTAAAATAAACATTAAAGAATTCACAAAAAAAGGGAATAAACAAAGAAGCATTTTTTTAAATATTCTACACTATTCAGAAATTTCAGGATTAAAAAAAGTATCTAATATTCTCTGTTAGTGCATCAAGTAAAATTTGGCACAATTCCTGCTAAGAATTAATCCAATAAATGAAAAATAGCACACAGGACTAATTAATAAAGAACCTGTCTAGTTACTACTCCTTTCTGCTGGGATAAATCAATATATTTACAGACTGGAGTATTAATAATTTGATTTCATAATTTGCTAAATGTTACATTTTACTTAAAGCTGTTAATTGCCTTTTTAGAGAGAAATTATAATAGGTGGCTATAAACGTTCTTTTACAAAAGGTGTATTTCCTGACATATTCTAAACGGACGTAGAAGAATAGAGAAGGCTGCATAATTGCAAGATTGAGCTCTTGCACCTTGTTTTCAAAATTTATGGATATGTTTTCTGCTCAAGTTCTGAGAATGCTCTGCACAATTTGTACTCAGGAGTACTTGCCCTGGACTGTGGAACATGGAGATGATGTACTATGATGTGGATATGTATCAAGAACAGTATATACAAAAGGCCGGTAAAAATTTGGAGGACGCTGAGAACTCAACTAATCTGAAAAAATTAGAGACCTATCTAAGAGTCAAAGGTACTTCAAAAAACAACATGCTAGAGAAAATTTCTACACAGTAATGAAGTACAGTATGAGACTGCAAAATAAACTGAAATCTGCTGATTGGTGTAAGTTTTCTTCACACATTTCTAAAGTCAAAAAAGCATCCAGTTATTTCAACGTTGTATTTTGAAGGTACAGCACTGCTACCTAAACTGTCTGTTCAGCAATTTACAAAATCTAGGCTGAAATGAATCACAGCTGTAATGAAAAAAAAAAAAAAGGCAATCAGAAGTTTATCTAAGAAACTCTAACCCCAGAAATGCTAATATTTTTCTTGCTCTAATGACCCCAGGTTGAATTAATCTATTCAGACTCTTAGGTCATTATTTTCAATGAACACTTGATATTTTTCACCTAAAAAAAGATAAATACACAGATATCATTCATCCACTCCACAAAGATACCCAAAACTGGTAGTGTTGCTTTCAGAAATTCTACCCTAATGCCACTGGCAGCTACTAAAGCCCTGTCTGAACAGCTGAATTAGTGAATTCTCACATTTTCAGAAAAGTTTTTTCCGAGAAACAAGATGTTGATTAGCATGGATAATGGGAGCCATTTTTAATTTAAAAATAAAGAACATTATACTGTTCCATTTATTGTGTTTTGTGTTAACTGTTTGCTTGCTTAAGTTAGCATTGAGGATGAAGTTGTGAAAACCAAGACAAGTCTACCCTCTGCCCACATTCCGAGCTTTTGACAAACAGAAATTATTGAACAGTGAAGAAGGTCTCTGGTGCCAACACTTTGTTCAACCTACTTTCCCACCTGATTGAAAAACCTGTTTTTAAGATGACAAGCCTGAGCTTTGATGATTTAGAATAAATAATCCTGCTAATATTTTGATGCAAGAAATTTTTGATGTAGAGGCGGCTGGAACAGATTTTGGCTCCAAGATCCTAGTGGTCTAAGAGTGGAGAGAGACAGGATAATAGGAACATTATGCATATTTATTTCAAGCTAGTTATGCTTCTACAGGGGTTGAAGAGCTGTCTGCTCCCACGTAAAGCTTTCATCACTGACCACTAATGGTGAAGAGATCCACTAGGTGTCAAAATCTTCTGAGAGCTGCTAACTAATCTAGGTTACCCATTGCAAGCACGGGCCTATTAACGAGGCAATAGCAGGGATGAAAGCATGAAGCCTAACTCTGTTAAGGGGCATGACCAGCAATCCACACTAACTGGTGATGAAGCAATATAGAAATGGTTAAATTAAGTAGCTCACTGAACAGCAGCTTTATTATATTCAAAAAGAACACCATTATTTACAGAAATCTCCAAAGGATTAGGACTATCAGCAATACTTCAATATCTAAGCAAAATGGAAACTGATTTTAGCACTCCAAAAGCAGTTTCAGCAACTACTTGAAGCTTCTTGCTACTGTGTGTTAAAGTCAAGCCTTGGAAACGCTCAAATACAGTGCGGAGTATTATAAAATAATAGCTAGTAAGCCTCTTTTTTCCCCTTCTTCAGATTGATCTAATTAAAACCCTTGATAAACTTTATGGACTCTAATATTTCCAGCTGAGTGACTGAAACCAAGAGGGTGTGCCTCAAGGCAGCAAGGCAACAATGATAAGCAGCAGGTTAGCCACTAATTTCTCAGCCAGGGTAGATTGTGAAAGTGTGATGTTCTGATATCCAAGAAAGTGTTCAGGAGAGAATAGGATAAATCAAGTTTAATAACTCTGCTCCTAATTGTTCCCTCAATGCTCCACTCTAATTACTTGGAGAACTCTCCTGACTGTCACCTGATATTAAGTTGTTGGAGGCTGAGTGTGGAGCAGTGAGATAATCAATAAACATTTAGTGGGGAGAAGAATGAAGATCCCGTTAAGCAGTGGGAACCTGCAGCACCCAAAGCCCTTCTGCTCATGAGAAAACCTATGGGAGAGCCATAGTGATTGCAAAGCAATAATCCAAAGCACTGGTTTTAGGCCTTGAGGCCTTTAGGCAACAGTACATTTGAGGAAAAAAGGTTAACACGGTCACCCTAATTACAGCCCATTTTCACATTCTTCATATATAAGCAAAGACAAGCCAATTAGGTAGAAAGGAAGATAAGGGAAGTTTTATTTGTATACTAATTAAACCCCTGATGAAATTAAAGGAAAAACATACAGCTCTGTAATTGTGTCTGAGAAAGGTCACTTCAGGTTCAGTTATCAGAAAAGCACAGCCTTGAGATATTTCACTTAATCCACAATATAGCCCTTATTTTGCCCCCCAGGTCTTAGTATTTACAAAAATAAGAAAATTTCAAAACCCGATAATGCATTTATCTTGAAATGTTTTCTGTGGACAATTACAACTGTTAGAAAGTTGAGGCTAAATATGATAAGAAGAATGAAGGTTTTAAAAACCTACTATGTCTGCACATAGTTCTGTGAAGATGCTGAGCTTTCACTTTCAAGCATAAGTGATTCTGAATCAACTTAGAAGCCAAACTCCAATTTATTAGCATTCTATAAAATGCCAGTTATCTGCTTAATTCAGACGTTTATGCATTCAGGTGCTAATTCAGACATCACTGTACTCCTTCCTTTATCATCTACCAAAATCTCATAGATCAGTTCAGCTTTCATCAGAACCCTTAGAAGGAGTTTCCTTTAGAGACATGTTAGATTTAGGCTTTTTTCCCTCCAAAAATCAAGCATGAAAAAACAGTTGTTGGAAAGAACATTAAGCAACTGATAGCACTGAAGAAAAATCTCACTGGATGTCTGTTCGTTTGGTCCTTCCACAAGCTCCCTTTAACAAGTTTAGGTTTTCCAGCGAGGAATCTTTTTATTCAAAACCAGTTACAAAAATAAATCAAAGCTTAACACTGTTATTCTTTATACATAAAAAAGCACTCTGTTTGAAAGATAACAGATGGACAAGCACTCCATATGAATGATGACAGACATACAGTTTAAATTCATGCAAAGCATGTGTGACACATTTATACTGAGAGCGCATTTTCCAAGATCACCTAAAGCTAGACTAAACTTCTCAGTAAATTAGATTTAAATTACATAAACACAATACAGAAGTATAAGATACGTCAATACACTGTACTATGTGTATTATGAACTAATTTTGAAATTAAAGATTATCTCTTCCAGATGAAGTATGTATATTTTCTATTTAGAGGTAAAATATTACTTTTAAAAAAATACATTCTGAAAGCTGTCCTACATACACAGCTAATAAAATTTCACAATGAAAAAAAGGTATAGAAAGTTTAGTCTGCATCCAGTTTAAACAGACTTCCCATTATCCTTGTTGGCAAATATAATCTTCAGGATGGTCTCTGAGTGCCCCTCAAAAGACAGTCTACAAGTAACCTAGAGAAGTTTGCATCTTCAAATGGTTCAAATTCAAAAGGTACAACAAGCTACATTAATATTTAATGTTAACCATGACTGCAATGCAAACCAAGTACAATAGCTCAAATTATTCAGCTAAATTTCCACAGAATGTTTTCTGAAAAGAATTCTTACTTGACAAGAACAAAAAAATGAAGCTTCTTCTATTAGGAGGGAATTAAAAATTTCAGGGGAAAAGTTCCATTGTAAAAAAAAAAAATTCATAAGTGAGATTTCTCATCAATACTTTAAAAAAAACCCCATATCCAAGGCATACACTTAGCCCTGTGTCAGGATAAAGATGGATTTACACTTCTCAAATTGAAACTAAACTGCAATATCAACCAGACTCACTGTGTGTTTCACAGTGGCTGCAGTAGTGTCTTAAAACAGTTTGAAATGAACTCCATGTGGTCGATCTGCTCATGCAAGCACAGCTAACCTGAGGCTGACTGCCCATGATATTCCTTCAACAACAAATGCTTTCATATGCCCTTTAAACTTCTCAAGAAAAAGAAATATGAGTGCTCAAAAGGACACTTGAATGAGCTGTATCTGCTTTGCAGAAAGAAACAGTGATTTTTTTAACCTTTTTGCAACT